TTCATAGAAATACAAAATTTTCCATAGCAAAAAAGTTACAGCGATTTATTAAAAATGCAAAAATGCAAATTTTTGAAAAACACCCCGTAACTCCGAAACGGTAACACATATTGATGTGCGGTTTTCACCATCACGTTTTTGTTGAAAATTGAGCTCCAGACACCGATATTAGTTTTCGTCTATCTCCTATAGAAAAGGGTGTTTCCATTTAAAAGCGTCGAATTTGACCTACCCTGTACATAGAGTGGTGATTTTTCTAGAAAATTATACTGATAAAGTTGCCACATAAGGTAGGACATCACTTATTTTATTGTGAAACTTATCACACATGATAAAATTGTTAAATTATCCTTTTAACTAGAACAGTGATAAAAATCCACTCAAATAAATTTAGAAGTGATTAGACTTGTATTTCATTGAACAATCAATATCAAATAGGTACTTTGGACATAGATTCCTCTCCTTTTCAAATTATTGTTATTTTTAAAATTGTAATTTTTCGTCAAATTGTACAATTTTACTCATACAAAATGTTGTTTTTCGTTGTTTTTATAAATAACAAACTTCCGACCTACCTAACATTTTAACGCACCTAATTTATTCAAAAATGACGTATCAATACCAAAAATATACTTAGCATAAGCTCAGATGCATAAATTAACTTGTCCTTATTAATAAAACATCCATTTATAGTGTCATCCAGCAAAATTGAGAAAAAATGCAAATTAGCTTAGTAGTATGTCGTTCAAATTATTGGTCAAAGTAGGACACAGAAGTTTGACGGTCATCTCACAAACGATAAAGATGTTTTTAGGTGAATATAATTAGAAAAAAAAAGAAATATTAAGTGAAAATAATATTTTACTATAAAAAATAGTCTGTATCATAAATTCAATAAAATATTTGGATATTTAGTGAGAGATGTTGTGCAGTTAAAAAAATAGTCTGGCTAAACTGTGAGAATGGGTAATAGGTCTGGCACGTGAAAAATTGGATAAAAATTATTGAAGCCATTGCTCTTATTTTCGCAGTCCCAAAAATTTGTCAGATGATAGTTTATATTATAATTACAGCTGCAAATACAGGATGAGTTTTTAAATAAGTGCAAATATTTTCAGGGGTGGTATATTTCGACCCCATAAACACGTCTATGAGGTAATTTTCCTGTATATTTTTCGAAAACTTTTTAGAAGTGCCTGTTCATCGCAAATTTTCCGACGGTATAATTTCTTATAATCTCCGACATTACCATAATTACGGCTTTACTCTATGGTTACGGCTATAAAAGAGATGAAAATACAGAAAAAATCCGGTGGCTCTCAAAATTTTCTCAAAAAAATATTTTTTTTTTAATTTTTAAAATTAAATAACTGGGTTATTTTGGACCTATCTGAAAAATGGTAAAGATAAAATATGTTTCTTTTATCGAGATCTACCAGCCCTGAAAATATTTGCACTTTTTAAGACTCACCCTTTATAGTCTGGCTCATGTGGAACATCCCGAAAGTCTTGCCAGACTAGTACAACGCTCGTCAGGCGCGCTAAATTCTGCATGTTCAATTACATACAGGGTGACAATTTGAAAACGGGCAGTATTTAATATTACCTCTACCGATGATAGTATGAAAATTTGGCGAGAGAGAGAGAGTCATTTTATCAAGGGGGGACAATTTTTTGAGGCATTTGTTGTCGTCAACCTCAACCCCAGGGCATTTCCTACCTTGGCCTTTTAAATGGTAACTCCTATTTTTTTTATTTTTGTGTTCCTAATAAAATTCTCAAAAAAATAATGCAGTTTATGTAGAATTCTATAAGAAACACAAAAAATGGTAAAAGAAATAAGAGTTGCCATTTAAAAATTTAGGGGTAGGTGCCCTGGGGGTCAAGGGGTTGAAAGTAACACGACATCAAATGCCTCAAAAATTGTCCCCCTTGATATGTAAATTGACCTGTTTCGCCAAATGTTCATACTATCATCAATATTGTTCGTTTTCAAATTATCACCCTTATTATCATATAGGTACAGGTGATCGTTGTGATCTCTACATGTTTTTACTTTTCATAATTTATGGCAAGAAAAGTATTGGCTTAGGATAAAATTTAACTATGATCAAAAACACTTTTCTCAACGTTTTGACTTTTGACCCCGGGAATTGAAGAAACAAGGTTTTAGACCATCCGTCTGTCATCAAAAAACTTCAATTCACTAATAACCTATCAGAGATATAAGAAAGTTGTATTAATATAAATGTCAAATATCATACCTTCAAGCATGGGAAAATAAGGGTTATGCATTTGAAAAATCTGTCAAATTTTTGAATCCGCAAATTTTCAGCCAGACTGACTTTCTTCCACTTCGAATATGCTAGACTATTATTTCCATTAATAAAATGATTCACTCTAATAAATGTCAAATATTTATGACTGGAAAAATAAGTGGTCTTTTTTATTTTATTTAGTAAACCCATCCGAAAATTTTAGCCATATTCACAAATTGACATTTAATGTCACCATCCGAAGAAACTATTATACAGGGTGAGTTTCCTACGATGTTCTCTATGGGTATCTCGGAAACTACTGGAGATAGAGAGTCGGTTAAATGGGGAAAGAATTGCAGTTTTATGGGGTCATAAATATGCGCCTTTCAGATTTTGGAAAAGGTTCATGGCTTACTAGATATTTCGAAAAAAACAAATTTCGGCTATTTTAAAAACTGTCTCTAATTCCATTATAAGTTATTTTAGACAAAACGTTTTCAGATAAAAGTTGTAGATAATCACATCCTTCAAGAGATCGTGTCCTCCGCTTTTTTCTAAAGCCTGTCATTTTTGACATATGATACAAACTTGTGTTTTTTTAAATGGAAACCATAGTTGACCATGACTTCATAAAAAGCGCGGTTTTTAAGCTTTTTAGTGATATAAGCTATATCTTTTCTTCGAAAAATTACTGGGTTATAGCCAATTCATAGCATTTTTAAACAATTTCACTTAGTTAGCCATGGAAACAAGTTCAATCGCAGTTGCTCTCAGAAATGTGAAGCTGTCACATCCAAACTTTCTAAATTAAAATAAACAAAAATTGTAAATATGAATTTTTCAAATGAAAAAAAGCGCGTAGATACTCGCGCATCAATCCAACATGACTTTCATTATGACACACTACCCCCCACTCCACCATAATGAAAGAAATGTTAAAAATTATTTATATCATAATTATGCAAACGCAGGGATAGGAAGAGGTGGACTAATTGAATGGGCCTCCTCGATCAACTGACCTATCCATTTTAGAATTTTTTATGCGGTATGGTTAACAATATGGTTTACAAAATAACTAATGAATTAAGAGAGGCACTCGAAGTGGCGGTACGAGAAAAGTTTAATTAAGTCCTTCTGTGAGAATAGGTAGTAATTCAGTTTTAAAAAGATGCAACTCAAATCAATGGCGGATTTTTTGAACATTTTCTAAAATAACTTAAAGTGTATGTAGTGATATTATTTTTTTAAACTTTACGAGTAGTTTGTGTAATGAAAATTGTAAAGAACCGTTTAGTAATATATTCTGACTTTTTATAAGTTATAAATCATAACAGAATAAAAATACTATGCAATCTATGTGAAATTAGTCAAGAAAGATAAGAATTGTCTTTAACTAAATTTAACTTTCCTAACATGTCTTGAAAACCGTTCTCTAAAAAACGTAACATTCACCGGTCAACGTATCCTCGAAAATGTATGGTCAAGAAAAGTTGAACCAATAATCCTACACGCTTTTCTTCATTTGAAAAATTCATATTTACAATTTTTGTTTATTTTAATTTACAAAGTTTGGATGTGACAGCTTTACATTTATGAGAACAAAGACGATTAAACTTGTTTCCATGGCTAACTAAGTGAAATTGTTTAAAAATGATAAGAATTGGCTATAACTCAGTAATTTTTCGAAGAAAACATATTATAGCTTATATCCCTGAAAAGCTTAAGAAATGGCGCTTTTTATGAAGTCATGGCCAACTATGGTTTCCATTTAAAAAAACATATGTTTGTGTCATATGTCAAAAATTACAGGCTTTAGAAAAAAACGGAGGACACAATCTCATTAAGAATGTGATTATCTACAACTTTTATCCGAAAACTTTTTGTCTAAAATAGCTTATAATGGAATTAGTGACAATTTTTAAAATAGCCGAAATTTGTTTTTTTCCAAATATCTAGTAAGCTATGAATTTTTTCAAAAATCCGAAAGGCGCATATTTATGACCCCACAAAACTGCAATTCTTTCCCCATTTAACCGACTCTCTATCTCCAGTAGTTTCCGAGATACCCATAGAGAACATCGTAGGAAACTCACCCTGTATGTATATTCACCCACTGGGAAAATAAGTACAAAAAAATGTCACTGCATCCTGGACTATTTTGAACTTCTCAGGGATATAAAACAACAGTAATTCTGAAAGACTCATTACAGTCATTACTCGTTACTCAAATACATAAATAAAAATATACCGTATGATCGAATAAAAACGGCGTCAGCGATGGCTATGAAATGAAGATCGCTGTCATTTTATATGTAAATTTATATGGGAAATGTCATCGATCGTCATTTCCAAGCCAACTGGTCGCCGTTTTTATTCGATCATACGGTACTATAAACTATATCATAAAAAAACCAATTTTTTAATTTTCTTATAATCTTCCATTACTAATAACTATAATGGTTCATAATTACATAGTGTACAATATACATTAAGATATTGTTTGTAACACTTTTGATGAGTATCAGAAAAGACGTATTGAATCAAAACTATAGTTTACCGTTTTTGGATGTCTCCTGTCGAAAAAGAAGATCAATAAAAACCAACAATAAAAACACCTCGCTTTCTTATTTGCAGTATACAATTGTGTCCCAACATATTTTTGTATATATTTGTGATTAGATTTAGATTGTAGTTACAACTCAACAAAAAACTCGACAAAAAATTCATGTTTACATGTCTTACCTGACAAAAATCCCAATGTTTATTACTAAAATGTTTATCTAACAACCCTATGTTCTGATCAACGAATTGGTAAGGTTCAGCAATAACGGGTTTCAATGAGGCAGTCAAATAGTAACATCGGTCCAAACAACGCTGTACAGCTAAGTATGCAGAATTTTTTCGAACAAAATCTAATACAAAAAAATGTATCAAAACGAAAAGGTTATTAAGATCTCGACTTACATACCTATTAAACCTTCTCCAGTAGATTTCCCTCTTTCATCCACCAAAACTATGGCCTTTTCGATCTCACCAAAAACAGAAAAGGCAACAAACAGCAATTCGTTGGTGACAGCAGGGCTAAGGTTCTTCACTTTGATTGTATGACAACAAGAGGCAAATTTGACTTTCAAGACCCTAGATTTAACAAGCATTCCGTCAAGTTGTTGTTGAGCCTTTTCGGCATTCGAATGATAATCGAACTTGACAAATGCAAAGCTCTTCTCCGCGTTGACATAAATGTCAGTAATTTCAACATTGGGATCCAATAAACCCTTTATATCCTCTTCGTTTATTTCTTTACCGATATTTCCGATGAAAAGTCGGTTTCTTCCGGAAAATTTCTTTTCAGATAAGTTCAAAGCGGGTAACTCTAATGTAGGAGACCTGGACAAATTAGCTATTTTTTCCTCTATCTTGTCCACGCCGAAATTTCCGTGATATTCCCCAAGATATCCGCTGGAATTATTGGACTCTATTTCGTCGTTTTGATTCTTGTCCCTGTCCCTATACTTGCGCCCAAATCTTTTTCGGGGGTAATATTTTTTGTTCTCGCTCGAACTCTCCACATCTTCATTTTTATCAACTTCTGCATTAGGCGTTTGGTCAATTTGTTCCATCGTTACTTTTTCAGTCAAAAATATTAAAAATCTTCCCCAATTGTCAATATTTACAAATATTGTCACGGTATTGTTATGCCAACAAATACGACAGTCAGTTGTTTTTGAAAAATGTGACAGATAAGTGTGATTATTTAACGAAATACCTAGTTTTTCGTTATTAGGTGCAATTACAAATTGGTAACGGAGCATAATATCAGATTTTTTAATAAGAACAATTCAAGGCAACCTACATATTCCTACATATTTCTAATTTACGTTTTCTATATAGAACAACATTCCAACAATAACATACCTACCAAACCAAACCTACCTATAGATGCCTATTTCATATAAGCAAAAATAAATAAAAACTGTTTGCTGTAGGTACAGCAAACAGTTTTGGTTTTATCTACGAATTAGATACAAATCAAACTTTTATTGATAAGTCCAATTACTATTCAATAAAATAGATCTGATTTGAAATATTTATGACCAGTATTTGCATATTTTTGTAACACAAAAACTTAAAATTATTAAATATTTCTACCACCCTTGCGTAGGTGGAAGAGTTGAGAATATGTGTCACTCAATTCAGATAAATATACAAAAACAAACTTACTTGGCTATGAAAAGGAAGACAAACACCACACACACCACCAAAAGGAGTACCCACAATAAATTATAAAGTTCATCTGATAAAGTTTTTTCCAACATGATTCTTGTTCTTTATTGTACCACGAGAAACATCGCCAATATCCACGTTTGGACAACTACCGACCGAATAGTACCACAAGAAAACCCGCACTATTTCAAACAAGTACCGATTTTATCCATAATAAGCAAAACAATCCGACAAAACAAGGACGTTTGACAACTAGACCTGTGAAAGATATCCCCTCTACAAATATTTTCAGCTGATATTGACAGCAGCTTTGTTGGAAGGCAACCAGATATACTTCAGAGAATTGAAATAAGTAAATAACAAATAAAACAAATAATGGCATTCCGTGGCATCTGCCGGTGAAAGGAGAAACACAGTTAATAAATATGGGACAATAAAAAAGAATTCTATTACTATGTATTCCCCCATACACTAAAATTTTAAAGATTTAATAAAAGTAGACAAGTTGATTTAGTTGATTTTAATAATTTCTTTTAGAATTTATTTGTAAAAAATACACTGGTTTATTAAAAAATATGGTGGTATAATAAATGTGCATTCTGATGTATTTAGAAAATGACCAGAATAACGGTAAAAATATATAAGTATATACATATATGTATAAGTTATAAAAAAATAAATTATAGGGCTTATTAAAATGTTTATTTTAGTAGTTTATTTTATACAGGGTGTTTCAAAAAACATTTGTCATCTCTCGGCGGGAGATTCCTCACGTAAAAATAAGATTTATTTTTCATATCAACATAGATCCGATTCTGCTTTTGTTTCGTAGCTACAGGGTGTTAAAGTCTTAATATTTTTTCGATTTATCATAATTTTCTTTCAAGTACTTTTAGTGTTTCGAATTAAATTTTGAGGGTAAATAATGTTACTATAAATGCGACAATTTTAAAGCTAAAAAAGTGTCGACATATTCATCAGGGACGTGCATAGATTGGTTATCACTGGAATATTTTTCAAAAAAAAACATGTGCGCCACTGACTTTTTTTCTTTTGATACTAAAATTGTGCTTTTAAAAAAAAATAATATCATTAACTTGCGAAAGTTTTAAATAAGTACTCATTTATTCCTTATCAAAAAATATGAAAGAAAGTTCCTATAAACATGGATATGGAAATGCATAGTTTTAGAATTACGTACAGGATGTTAAAACTTTTTAAATTTTTTTTTAATTGTAATTATCTTAAATACCATTATTTTTTATTTGATATTGCTGTATGGTGGACTAATAGCAATAATAACGAAAAGTAATAATATTTAATAATAAATTAGGTAAAATATATTATTTATTAATTTTATTTTAATTTTAATTTTATTAATTGTGATAAATAAAATTGCGTTTATTTCATCAAGGAAGTCGAATTCGACAAAATATCAAGAGATAACTTTTAATTGGCATTAAACGGCCTACACAATTTTAGTATCAAAATCAAAAGAAAGAAAGTCAGTGGCGCACATGTTTTTTTTTTGAAAAATATTCCAGTGATAACCCATATGCACGCCCCTGATGAATTTAATGACACTTTTTGAGCATTAAAATATGTACCACAGTGCTGTGAAGACCATCGTCCAAGCAGCAGCGTACTAGCTAGATTTGACGGCTGAACTCACGATCTGAAGAGAGGCTTTATTTATCCTTTTAACAATTATTGTCTTACGTCTATCGTGGTAAGTTGAGCATTTGCTTATATTTAGTTACATTTGCTTGCCTGCAACAAGTAGATATCATCTATCGTAATTTTTCTTTTTTTATTTAAATTGGACAAAAACAATAAGTAACAAATTTTTACAACTACGAATAGTGTGGGGAGGGGATCCCCCCCTAGTAATATTAATACTCAAATTCTTGATAATATGGAAGTTGATAGAAAGGATAGAACGAAAACAGATAGGAATTCGGTCATGACGGACTTGAATTAAAAGTAAGTATAAACGCCTATGGCCCGTATGTAGTATATTTGGAATCTACAGATGCTGTTGGTTATAATATTGGCAGATTTAACAATATTAAGATTGCGAGAGAAATATTTAATTTAAATTTAACTGATATAAAAAAAATTAACAATAAAGGCTTAAATAGAATATCAATTGAATTTACCAACTATCAATCAGCAAATAATATAATATCAAATAGAGCATTAATAGATAAAGGTTATAAAATGTTTATCCCGTTTAATTTTGTTACGTGTAAGGGTATTGTTAGACACATTGATTCGGATATAAGTGAGGAAGAGCTATTAAAATATTGTAAAACCAATAGTGGTGTAGAAGTTATTAATATTAAACGGCTAAATAGAAAGGTCATGAAAAACTCAGTGCTTTCATATGAGCCAACTGGAACAGTGCTATTTACTTTCAAAGGAATATTAATGCCAAAATATATCAACTTATATAGATTGGAATACCAAGTCAATGTATATATACCTCCAGTTACACAATGTTATCGATGTTTGCGATACGGTCACACCAAAAATAACTGCAAAGGCAAAGAAATGTGCTTTAACTGTGGCGAAAATGAAAAACATATACAAGAAGGGGAAGGTTTTAGTTGCACAACGCAATGTTATTACTGTAAAGAAAATCATAAGTCGATTTCCAAAATATGTCCAGAATATACAAGACAGAAAAACATAAAAGAACTGATGGCCCTGGAGAACATAACTTTTTACGATGCCAATGAAACAATAAAAAGAACATATGGACAAAAAGGAGATTACTACCTCAACAAAAACGATTTCCCAGAATTAAGAAATAGAGTACAAAGGGAAGAAACCCAAAAAAATATTTTGCCCACGGAAAGAAGGACTCAAAACTTCCAAAATAAAATAAAAAGATCGTATCAAGAAGTAGTTTCAGAAAACACTTCAAAAAAAAGAATAATTCACAAAACACAAAATAAAAAAGATATCGACGAATGTTTATATTTTCCTAATGGCAGACCAAAGCAAGATCAGACAAACTTACCGTCGACTTCGACACAAATTCATCCGCGAACTTCCAAAGAGACAGAGCCTTTTAGTGCATTTCATAGCTACGAAAATGATCCTCAAGATTTAGAGTTGTCTGAATGCTTAAACCATGTGGCAAGCATTTCAACAGCAAACAAAATAAAAATTAGAAATTTTTTGTTTTCTCATTTAAATTATGATTCAAGGTTAGACAGATTAGACATAGATCATTTATCAGATTCGTAGTTCACAAGAAATAAAAAAAAAATTATAAAAATAAATAATTAAATAAATAATGAAAAATCCAACAATTAATCTCAAAATAATACAATGGAATTTACGGCATTAAATCAAATCGTGACAATTTAGTGGCACTTATTCATAAAGAATCTCCAGATATTATCCTTATTAGTGAAACTTGGTTAAAGACTAATTATAATTTTTCTTTGGCCTCTTATAATATAGTACGTCAAGATAGACTTGACGGTTTTGGCGGGGTAGCAACGTGCATTAAAAAATTTAATTCGGACACGACACAATTCATTATTATACAAATAGCTGATTTTTATATAATCAATTTTTACGTAAATTCGGATAAAAATTTATCTCCTGAACTTTTTAAAGACATGTTACAAGGGCTGAACTTGAATAAAATAATTATTTAGATGATATAGCATATCCCATGTATAAAAACTTACCAACAGAAGCGAGAAATTCGATAATAAATATTTACAATAAATGTCTATTTGAGGGGATCGTCCCAGATTCATGGAAAAAGTATAATATTATAAATATATTAAAGCCAAATAAAAACCCGCTTCTAGCGGAAAGTTATAGACCAATAATGCTGTCATCTTGTGGAAGTAAAATACTTGAAATTATGATCAAATATCCAATCAAATATGAACGCTGCTGGCGGAGGCCTCAATGCTGGATTTGGACAGCAGGAGAAAAATTCTAGCAACCAATTTTGTGGGAAAAGTAATAACATTGGAAAACCACTCTCTTATAAAATTATTATTTCAAACTAGGGGAAAAATATTAACACTTCCAACATATACAAATAGAAACAAGGTACCATATTTGATTGCTGCGTTAGGAGAATTTCAGCCTTATTATAATAAATTATATAAAAGCGCTAATTTTCCTTGCTTTGAAGTTGATTTTGACATCTTGAATAATCCCATAAAAATTTTTGATTGTTATATTAAGAAAAGTGATTTTTCCATTGTACAAGACTTCAAGTCGGTAACTGAAAAAATTAAGTCTACACATGTGTTTATTTACACGGATGCATCAAAAAGGGGTAAGAGAACTGGGTTTGGTATATCTATTCCTGAAATTCATTTTAAATTTTCTTCGCGCCTTCCAGACTCGTTAAGTATTTGTAAAGCAGAAACTATTGCAATACATGATGCGGTAATATTCGCAATACAAAAGCATATAAATAAAGCAGTTATATTTTCGGATTCCAAAAGTGCCATTCAGAAAATCAATAAATATCTTTTAAAAGCGAAAGCCGATTATTGGACTCTAAGAACTAAAAGAATAATTTAGCTAGTTTGGCTAATGTAAATGGGTTTGACATAATCCTGGATTCCGGGGCACGCGAATATCCAAAGCCGCGTATAAATATGTCGAGGCAAGTACGAGACAAACCCGAAACGAGTATGAAACGAGGCTATAGCAAATTCTTTCCAAAAGGCGTACTAATATGCCGAGACGAGGACGAGACGAGTCAACCTCAAGCGGAATTCGTCATATTATAGCCTCGAGCCGAGCGATTTAGCCTCGAGCAGAGTCCCTGCCCAGTCGAACGGCGTTGTCTCGCGGCTATCCATTTTCAGTGGAGCCTTTGGCGAACCCACAAAATTCTTCATAGGGCTGTGCGATACTGAGGCAGTATCGATATTTTGGTATCGGTTGTATTGAATATAAAGTATCGATACTTTAAAATATTGATAAATATATTAAAGTATTATTCGATACCATTCAATATTTTAAAAAATTAATTAATAAATTTAAGTATAATGTGTTTTTTAATTGGATTAGGATCGAAAAAAATCAACAGAAGTCCTTTGTTTTAAATTTGTCGACGTTTCGCAAAATTTATTTGCATCTTCAGGACACTACAAAGTTAAGAGAGCAAAATACAATCAAAAAATTTTAAAAATTTAACAAACAACTTAAAACACATATCAGTGGAATTCCACACATACACAATTGGTAAAACTACCCTAATGTTAACAATTAAATAAAATATATGTATAT